GTAACATCAGGACTATGTCCCCACCCCTTCCAATTTAAGACATAAAACACTACATGTAAACCTGAAGTAAGTTCCTCGTGTACCCTTCCCTGATTACATTTATCTTCTACCTCTATCAGAGATGACCATTATCTTGCACTACTTATCAGCCCATGTATGTAATTATATTTCACTACACATATAAAATCTCTTACAAGGTATGTTATTCCATCACATATTTTTATGTGGTATCATTTTCATATACCATCTATAGATCACTTTATAATCACAATAGTTTTAGAGATTTAAGAATTTTTTTACACTTGGAATTCTGAGATCATATTCTCAGGAATAATAATTAAATCTGCTGAATGTCTTTACTTTTTTATTTTTATTAATTCAGTCAGATGATTTTTGCAATCATCCCAAGTCATAAAAGTTCTTATTCAAAATAAAGGAATTTAAAGTATATTTTACAGCATACTAAGATAAACAAAATCAATACTTTAAAATATTTCAATCAAAGGGATATTCTACATGGCCATGTTGGTTTTAACACTAAAGTATGACACTGCTTGCCTTCCTAATATGCATCTCTTCTTCTCTCGAAAAACCAGTTAATTGTTTTTTTGAAACCTGTATCATCCCCAGACAGTTCACTGAATCTGGAAGGTTACCATCACATGACCACAATTATTGGTTCAATGATGGTCACATGTCACAATTCATGGAAATGAGATGGAAGAAGGTATCTGATGAGGATCTGGAAAAGAAATTCCCTTGCTTTTCTGGAAACATCTCTCTCTCCCCACCAATTCCAAACAAGGAAACAAATGACCATAAGAGTTGTGAGTAACTGTTTAGGGAACACAAGACTTGATGGACTGATTTTTGAAAGTAAAGTGATTTTAGATGACGTTAGAGCCCTGAAAGTATGATTATGGAAATGGGTAGCTGAGGCAGAATGGAGTAAAAGCTTGCTGAAAGAGTGGTGAGCAAAGAATAAACAGGCCAGCCCATACCCTGACATCCTTCTGGATGATGGTGAGGGCTGAAGTAAAGCGAAAGCCTGGGAGCCAGGTGCCAAATTCTCTAGAACACAGGAGAGTATTGTGGATGACAGAAAAAGAGGAAGGAGAAGAGTTTAGCGCTTAGGATAAACTCTGAGTCACCACAAACAGGTAAAGAAGTCTTAGCGAGGAAAACAGCGTGGGGCGTGAAGAGGATGGCCATCAAACCTCCAACTGGAGAGTCTTGGGTGAAGGAAGAATCAGTTTTCACAGATTGAACTTCAGATTCAAAAATGTACAGAATGGTTCTGGAACTGCACATAAGAATAAGAGGAATCTAAAAAGGACAACATATTTAAAATTCTATATTACAACTTAAAAAAATAGCTTAATACGTTCAGGACAGAAGAAATTTTGTTTAAAGAATTTAATGTAAAGCAGTCTAATGCAGAGACTCTAAGAAGCTAAGTGTATCTATCTCCAAGACTGTCTTGGCCACTATTAATATAAGTGTGAATTAAACTGAGATAAGCAGACTTTATACTTTACTTTCTAAAATTAATATTAAATAATTCACATGTATTGCTATTTAAACACATGTTAACTAGAGGGAAGAAATAATGCCTATGTTTTTAAGCAACTTTTAATCAACCTAAAATTAAAACAGGATCTAAATTTTTGCTTGATTATAGTAAAAGAATCTCAATTGTGAAGCTCTACTTCAACATTACAAATGAAAATAATTCATGAATTTGTTCTTTCCCTACTTAGGGAGTAGATTACTAAAGGATATGACTGCCTGTTGTTCTGGGAAGCTTCCTAAATTTATCAATTAAAAAAATATATGTATACATTTAACCTCAATCAAATGCTTAAAAGAAACTATAAATATTCTGTGATTCCACAATTTTGATTTGCTCTGTCATCAATACTATGCCTCCTTTCCTTGAATATGAGGAGCTTTAGGTATCCTGGTAAGCATTAATGCAAATCCAGGGCATATTCTTGTCTTTCTGTTTTCATATTACCAAACCTAACCAGGCATACTATAGCTGTCCAATTCACAAGGTACTCATACTATATAATCGGAGGCTTTTGCAACCATATATTTTAAAGGACTCATCGAACCCTGAAAGGCAAATGCTATCATTCAAGTTCTAATTACATGCTACCTGAGCTTTACAGAACAGGAAAGAAAAAATGAATACTGTACTGCCTAAATACATTTTTTGACCACAAGCAACTTCCAAAATAAATGCCCAAAATATTTTCTAAATGTATCACTGTACAAATAACTCAAGCAACTGGCCTATTCAAATTATGTTCTAATTTCCCTTTATGCTATTTCCACTTGATAAATTGGTCAATAAATGCCAAGTCAAATACTCAAGTCAATATATTTTCATTGTTATTGGCAGACATATAATTAACTCTGAGAATAAAAGAAACAAGAAATCAATTTATGATTACTTCTTCAATTCTTCTCATTAGTCATTTACATTATAATTGTGGTTCCACTTTTAAAATCTTTATACATACACATACAAACACACATACCATTTTGACTATATTATAAATCAACTTATTTCAATTACAAATTAGTATTGACTGAACAGTGAACCTCATATGTTAGTTTTATTAGTATGATATAGTTGTATTATTAGTCATTTGTAGGAGCTGATTAAAAAGCAATGCACTTATAAGCCTATGTTAATTAGTAATTTCAGCAAATGTTTCTACACAATGTAAAGGATTGGTTCTGTCTACTCTTAAGTATAAATATTTGTATCAATGTTTTTATGTACTTGTCTATACCAACAAATTACATATCCATTTTCAGCAAAATAGACTAAACAAAGAAAATATTAAACTTTTTTTTCCAAAGAAGGTATTCAAAGAGCTTATCTTTTTTATTTAAACATTTGTTACCTGTCAGGTCAATACTTTCACCAATTTAGGAAGAATACATTTTGTACAAAATGCCTTTTTGTTTTACCCTTTAAAAACATTACTCAAAAAAAAAAAAAGATGCAAAAGTTTCTACTTGGTCATATGTGAACTTCATGAAGAAAAAAATTTAAGATGAGCTTAAAATATCTGTGCTGATGGTCTCACAAAGAATAGAAGTCCTAGCAGAATTAAAGGCTTTAATACAGGTGATGTGTTTAGAATTGTGCTCAACATAAAGTACGTGCTCAAGAAGTGTTAGCTCTGCATTATCGAATTTTACATGTTTTACCTATTAACTTCTAGTTACCAAACTGAAAGTATCTAGGTTATTTTTTTTTTAAGATTTATTTATTTATTCGTACAGAACTGGGGTACAGGCCAGAGATGTGGAGGGTGAAAGGATTCACAAGAAACAGCGGGGAGCAGAACAGGCAGATCGAAGAAGTACACTGCTGAGGGGAGCAGTGGGTGGGTCAGGAGAAGTCTGCCGCACCATGTGGTCACCTCCAGGGCAGGCGGGTATCGAACTCATGCAGAAGTGGCTTAAGGTTCTTAGTGCTGTACTTTAACCCGCTGCACCACCAGGGAGGGCCCAGTATCTAGGTTATTTTTAATAAAGAAAGAAAAAAAACTACATTACGATATTCTGAACCCATTCCATCAACTAGTCATCCTATTATCCCCATCAGCTGCTGGTTTACTAACTCTCCACAGTCAAAACAGGATCTAGGGTCTTAGTGAATGACAGTTCCAAATGTTAATTTAAAAGACAGGACTTTCCGTATTATTTCACGATTAGTATTCTTTAATTCATTCAAAACACTAAAATACACTCTGTACTAAGCATTAGCATTGAAAAATTGAATCCAGGCTGTGAAAATAAAAGATGGGTAAGAAAATACCCCCAATAAATTGCTTATGAGCAATACACACAGAAACACAAATTTATGTCATTGTTTAATTGTAAGGTGTACTGAAAGTCATGATGAAGTTCTCCAGGGGTCTGCACAGATAATATTTGAGCAAGATTTGGTAGGAAGAACAGAAGGTCAACAGCTAGAGCAGAGTTCTGATACTATTTTATTCACAGAGAGAACTGGAAATTCCTCACAGTGAAAAGTTAAAATACATTTGAAGCAAATCGGCTTCCTCAAACAGATTTCCCATTGCGCAATGTTTGCTTATTTTATCTTGAGGAGTTGAATAAATATTTTGTACAACTGTGTTCCTCTACCACTCCCTCTTCTACCACTCCCTCCTCCCCTCCCTACAGAAGAGAGTTCACTGTGACTTATTTGGATGATGTTCTTAGCTCCCATTCTCCCAGGGCTCCAAGAGATCTTCCTAAAACCACTTTTATCGCACTGCTCCTTGATCAGAAACCTTCAGTGGTTTCCTCCAATTCCCAGATTATCCACCCTCTGCTTTGACTAGATTTCTCTCCCAATATGCCTTGGGCATGTCTTCCTTTTGTTCATCTTCCCCTTGCCCTGAATGTTTTTTTCCTTCTATTTCTCTTTGTCTTGCTAAAATTCTACCCTCCCTCAAAATCTTCCTTCAAGAAGCCATCATATTCCCTTGCTTCTACTTAAAATAATAGAATTATATATATGCTACAGGATAAAAAAGAGAACTGCTCCTGGAAAAATTATACTGTGAGATGAAAGACATGTTGAAACGTGGTAGAGGATTGGAAAATAAGACAGTGACTCATTTGAAAGCTATATTCAGTTATTTCATCAGCATACTACACTTTTTAAATTTATTATTCAAAATGTGTAAACTGCACCAATTACCTGCTGAACAATTTATTTTTTTCATTGACACTGTGCTATCGTAAAACATCAACCATCCCACAACATGGTCAAGGAGTTGTTCATTATTTAAAGTGGTTTCTTTAGGAAATGCTCATATTAGAACAGAAAATTATCAATGGAGTCAACATAGAACTACACTAACCAGCATAGCAGTGAGCTCCCTATGGGAAGGGCAACTCGTTAAATAGAAAAACACCCTTTAAAACTTTTCAAATGACAATGAACAGGCTCTACACATCAATACCTTGGCTTCCAATATGATTTTCTCTTCATTCAGCTTCTCCATTGCTTTCCAAATTTTTTCACGACATCTGCTTATGTCCAATCTCACTGTAAAACAAATTAAATCCTTAAACACGCCGGTCTTCCTAAGGTCCCCATATCAAGAAGTATTGTAACAGAGCAGACTCCTCTAAGGGTTCTGTGCAAGGCCTTAGGGATTCCCTTTAAACCCAGGCCCCCAACTCGAGAGACAGAGGGCTGAGGGGAAGGTTTGGGCACTCACCCTCTCTCATCAAGCGCCGACTCTCCTCGGCCTGATGCTCCGAGAAGATGATGTGCTGAAGCAAGGATTCCAGACTCATAGCGGCCGGGGCTCCCGCGGACCTTTTCTTCACCTTTAAATATATTATAACTGAGCCTGTGGACCCTGCACAGCACAATAAAGAAGGAATATTCTAGGTCTGTTCCAGATAGGCCCCCGGCCCCCTACCCGCAGGCAGCGTGGGGGGAGGACGCTACGGTTTGGGGGAGCTTCGCAAGCGGTGGCTCTGGGCCTTTCCCCCTGTCAAGGGACAACGCTTAAACCCCGTCTTGGGGCGCCCCCTGATGGCGAGTGGGCTGAAGCACAGCATGCGAAGCTGCCGCAGGAGGGGGAGCTCGATCCCTGCCCGGACGTGATCCGCCCGGCGCCGCAGACCCCCCTGTCTCCCTGACGCTCCCCTCAGCAGTGGATTTTAGTGGATCTGCTGTTCGGCTCCCCACTCTGTCTCTGAGGAATCCCCTCACCTGCCCCACCTCTGCCTTGTCCCCCAGCTCTGTGTGCATAAGTAAATCTTCAAAATAAACAAATCTTTAAAACTAATTAATTAAACAAGCAAACAAACAACCCCGCATTCCTCCCTCGCACCTCCTAACGCCCCTGAGAAGTCTCCCAGCTGCTGCCGGAAGAACGCCGCTCCCCTCCGACCAGGGCTGCGGCCCGCCGAGCTTTCCTTTGTTCTGGTGTCAAATAAAAATGGAGGTCCGGGCCTCGGCTTCGGGGCAGCCTGGGCCACTCCTTCCCTCTCTTTTTACTGAGAAGTTCCCCGCCAATGCTCAGACTTCCCGCGAAAGAACCGGCCGTGCTAACCAATCCCGCGAGCGGAGAGGCTCCCGGAAGCCGGTCAGCGCCGCTGCTGGCGGGAAGAGAAACTACGGTGGCTCGCTGGGCTCAGGGGTCCGCCGCGGTCATGCAGGACGCGGACGTGGGGCTTAGGCCCAAACACCTGTGCTATAGAGGACAAAGTGTCCATGATTCTAAATATAAACTTCTGCGAACGCTGATCCTTTGACTACGACGAAGACTGCTCTAAATGCAGTGTCTGACGTTCCGCCTTAATCATTCTTTTGTAATCAGGGCCTATCTTTTTCGTCTGCTTTAAAATTAATCATTGCCTTTTGTAATCAAGCTGCAGTAATATTAACACTTCAGTATCTGCACAATATGTGTCAGAGACCAAAGTGGCTGCTAATTAAAGCTCAAACATGAAAGGCACCTTTGGGAATTTTGCATGGGATTTTTTAAATTAAAAAATAAAATATTTTTAGTTTTAGTAGGTCAAAGTATTAAGATTATAATAAACATGTGACTATACTTCTGCATGTTGAGTTGACATGCAGAAATTAAACTTTAAAAAGTAATTTCGAGTAAGAATGGTTTTCGAATTAAGTGAAATAAGACAAATGTAAATTTCGTCCCATCATCTGTAACAGACTTAATTAATACTTAGTTAATGCTGTAGTATAGTTGGTTTTAAATTTTAACCTGTTCCAAGTTTCCACCTTCATTTCCATCAGGCCATGAATGCCTAAAACTTAATTTTAAACTGTATTACAGAAGCATGCATACTGAAAAGTCTAATGAAGCAGAAACCATAGGAAGCCCATAAACATCATTCAAAAGCAAATATTAATAACATTTTGGCTATTGCCTTCCATGTACTTCTCCTCCCCTTGCATTTTTCCTTTATATAAATTTGAAGTTGCTGTAAAAAATAACAATCACTTTTTTGAGTATTTGTCAAGTACTATTTGAGATACTACATATCCTTCGGAAATTCTGTTATTACCTCGTATAATCAAGGAAACTAAGGCACAGTAGCGTTAAATGTTCGATCAAGGTTGCATGCCTAGTATATGGCAACAGAGTCTAACACCAAAATATCTGAAATCAGAGACCATGAATTTAATTTTGGTTTCTACTCATTTTCCTCTTATTACATAACCAACATTTTGCCATTTCATTGAAAACACTTTGAAAGTACATTTTTATCACTTCATAAGCCTCCATCACATGGATGCATGAGAAAAATTTAGATATACTGAAACAAATTGGACTCTTTTATATCTGTTCAAGTATGGAAAACAAAGCTGAAATTGTGGTTTGAACCATTTTCTTTGAGTACTCACTTGGAGGCTTATGAACTGTGCCACGGCATCCATCAAAGGAAAGGGCTTCTAGAAGATAAATTATATTACTAATTAATATCACTCCCTTTAGAATTATTTCCCGTGGAACTACACTGGGAGCATCGTCATAAGGAGGCTGGTTTTCAAAAGCATGCTGCTCTTTAACATTCCAATTTTATTAGTTACACTCAAACTCACATTTATTATTTAGTATGCTCTTTCTGTATTGAAACTTGGCAGAGTGGAATTTGGGCAGCCTTTGGGGAGCCCAATTTCCTCACTCACAGAAGAATATGGAAGAAAGAACAGCTAGAAATTCTGGAAAAGGGGTGTGGGGAGAAATGGCTTTGTCTTCTACATATCCAAGAATATGTTGCTGCATTTAAATCTCAAGTTCAAGTCTTCTTAGACGTTCCATATCTATAGACATTAACAAGATTTTAAATTTTATATTATTTGTTGAAGCTAACATGATTATGTAAGCCCACAACTCAAATTTTCCGTGTTTTGTAATGAGTAAAATTAATATTAAGATACTGCAATATTGCCATCTTATGTCTTGCTTTATTCATATATTTTCTATAGTGTTAAGGTTTTTTTCTTATAGATATAAATGCTGATTACATTCTATAATGCTCAGAGCAAGAGTAGCATTACTTAAATTTATGCCAAATAAAGATGGTATATGGCACAGTAAAACTAAGGCATACTATTTTCTGAAAATATATCTTATCAGTCTAATAAAAAGAAGTGATTCATTCAACAACTGTTTAATGTGTCTGCTATTCATTCCACATTCATTCCACAAATATTATTGAGCATCTCCTATGTGCCATATTAGAGACACAACAACAGGATTTAATAAAAACAGAACTACATAAAAAGTATTTTTCTTCCCCCGGATATTTCTAACCTCACTGGAGAATTATTATATTTTTCAACATTTTGGCAGCAGTATAAACAACTGCTTTCAGATGTTTCAACAGATGTTCTTTAGAAAGAAAGCCAATTATTTGTATTGTGATACCCACATATGATTCTCAGATCTAAACTTTCCATCTGTACATGCTTCATTGAATTGCATACCTATGGAATATAAAAGTTAAGATCACTCATTGTCTCTCAACTTGAGACTTTTGTTCATAATAGCACCAGCACCTGGGTGACTGAGCCATCAGTAAATGCTTTGCTGGAAGGTCCTATATAAGGCTATATTGCTCCCATGATTTAAAATGCATTTCTTCTCCTTTCTTAGATTAATGACTTCCCTTAGTTCTAAACCAGACTTGCAAATACCCACTAGCCCAGGGCATATATATTGCAATGAAAAGAAGAAACGTAATTCATTTATTTTATGTTTTTCTGAGGGCATCTGCCAGCAAGAAAAAAAAAATGTGGGTTCAACTAAGTTTAACAGCCATTTATTGAATATCTACTAAGTGTAAAAATCTCTGCTAGGTACTATAGGGAGATACAAAATTGAAAGATACAGGCCTTGTCCTCCTGGAGGTCATCATTTATCAAGTGGCACATGACATGCACAAATAACTCCAGGCAAGCGGTGTGCTGCGGGAAAATAGCAAAGGGAAAGTCTGATATAGGTGAGCTGGGAAAACCTACTGGCGGGGGATTAAACTCTCCGCTGGGCTTTAGAGGCAGGTGGGGCTTCGATAGATAGAACGGGAGAAAAAAAATGGAGAAAGTTAGATGATGTCGACCTCTGCAGGGTGTTTAACATTTTCATCTACAGAGTGGAGTACCAAGCAATGTTTTCTAGCAGGTGAGTGGCATGTGTGGCTAATTTGTGGCAGTGGGTTTGAGAAGCCCTAAAAAAGAGACTGACAGCTACCATGCATTAATAAATTATTATGTGCCACCTACCATCTGAGCGCTTGGCATGTCTTAGTTCAAATAATCAACCCAACAAGCCAGGGGATCCATGCTTTAATTATTTCCACACTGCCACTGGGCAATGTGAGGGAGCTGTCCACTGTCGCATTCAGTAGCTAGGACACAAGCAGAATCAGGATTTGAATCCTGAGAGTCTCTGGCATCCTTTACTGCTTCCCAAAACTAGTGGATGGAGAAAATGAGACTATTTCAGCTGCTGTGTTTCATTTCAAGGCAGATACAGTTCCTAAAATTGCTTATTACTAGCAAATTAATTGTTTTTCTAAAGGCATTTTCAGACTTCCACCTTTGGATTAATAATGTGGTATATTTGAAACGAATTGAAGTCAGCTGTGATCTAAGGAAAAATAATTGAGAATGGATTGTGCCTTGTTTTAAGTACTTATTTAAATGACAACATATATAATATATACATTTAAAAATGTAATTTGTATACAACATATTACACTAGTTTCTTTTTTAAAAGTTATAAATATACTTGATTTATTTTTTCTGTTTTTTAAAATTTCTTTTCTTTTAATTGAGGTATATTGGCTTATAATACTGCATTTGATTTAGGTCAATATGTTCTCACCCTCTAAGGTGTGTGCCACCAGACCACACACCCACCCACCTACCACCAAAGCACCCATAATCCTTTGCCATAGATCACTGGGCTTCCCCCCCACCCCCATTCTCCCCTTCTAGAAGTCTCGATTGTGCAGTCATATTCCCAGTTTTCACTATGGTTTGGTTTTGTCAGTTCCTTTGTTTCTCTATATTCCATATAGGGGTGAAGCCATCCCTATTCATCTTTCTCTTTCTAAGTTATTTGACCTAGCATTATTCTGTCCAATTCCATCCATGGCAAGATGGCAAGATGAATGAGTTCATTTTTATTTATAGTTGAATGGTACTCAGTTGCATATATATGTAGATACCACATCTTAATCTGTTCCTGTTCTTGGGTACTTAGGTTGTTTCCATAATCTTGTTACTGTAAATGGTGCTGCAAAGAACATAGATGCACACACAGCCCTTCAAATGAGTGTCTTTGCGTTTTGGGGGGTACATAACTAGACT